ACATGTGGTGTTCTTCCAGGGTACCCAGATTTGATTCTCAGCACCCACATGATAGCTAACAACTATCCATAACATCAGTTCCAGTGGGTCCAATACACCTCTTCTGATCTCTGTGGGCATTGCATGACATAGGTGCACATTCAGGCAATACACTCATACACATAAAATAATAAATAAAAAGTAAAATAAATAGATCTCTCCCACTGGTCTCTCCTAGTTTGGGTCACATTGCATTCCTTGTCTTCAGGCCCCAGAAACCTGGGGAACCAATACTGCTTCCTGAGCCTTTTCATCCAGACCAACTTTTCATCCAGACCAACTCTGGGACTTGGAGCACTGCTTCTGGGACTGGCCCATTACTCACCTCCCTCTGCATCCCTGGGCCTGAAATACCCTCTGCAGGCCTCTCTCCTACCCACAAGATTCTCTCCAGGACCAACCCAGCTACTCAGTGCAGTCCTCAGGAGTCCATGGGGCCTCTTCCTGCCCCATCTGCCTTTGCATCTCTGGGTGGCACAGCCAGCAGCTGCCCTAGACCAGAATCTCTCCTGGGTCGGGCTCCTAGGCCAGTCCAAGCCCCAAATTTCTGAGGCCAAAATCGTTCCTGGAGCGATCCAGGCCTTAGGAGAAATCCCGAAAACATCTGATCCTCTTCTGAATTGGGCCTCTGTGGGAATGCCTGAAGACAAAAGCAATCCAGCCACTCCAATATAAAATCAAAAGAGAGAAGAAGAAGCTTAGATGAACAAGATTTTCGTGCCCAAAAAGTAAACCACAAAGAAACATAAAGTTCACAAAAAGAAGCAGACCTAAATTGAAAGCCTGAGTCTCACACAAGAATCAGAAACTACAAAAGAAATCCACAAGTCAAAATCACAGGGAAAAAATAACATGAAAAACCAAAATAACATATCCCCACCAAATACCAATAGTCCACTAGAGGTGTACAGTGAGAAACCCCTAGAAAAAATACAGGGCATGGGCCTCAAAAGAACATTTATAAACATGATAAAACAATTATAAACATTTAAAGAAGACACAAAAAAAGAAATCAAAGACTGAAGGAAGATAGGGATAAACTTCTGAATGAATTCAGAAGAGTTAGAAATATTGAAGAATACCCAGGCTGAAATGACGAAGGGAGTGAAACACTCAGTATGCCAATTAGAAATGACAGGAGAAAACCTCACCAATATAATGAATGAAATGGAAAACAGAATATCAAGACAGAAAGATAAAGCAGACGAACTAGACCACTCAAGCAAAGATTATGAAAAATTTAAGAAATCACAAGAAAATAATATGCAGGAATTGAGTGACACCATGAAAAGATCAAATTTATGAATCATAGGCATACAGGAAGGAG